CTGATTGATCCAATGTCCCAGTGAAGAACGATGTTGGAGACACTGCATAACCCACTTTAATGCTTTGGTTTACGCTTTGTAAAGCCCTACACCAACCGCTGCGTTCATGTCGATCGTGACAATAAAATCTCTGCATATTTTTTCGACTGATTGCTCTTCAGAAAAATAAATTCCCCTCTCACTGTACACTCACAGAGGTAGAAATTGTGAGCGACAGGTTATCAAGAGAAACTAGGTGACAAAACAACCTGACAGATGCAAAACGTTATGGACGCATGTCACAGTACCTCAGGACAAGCATGACATTTTGAATGAAAATTTTATCTAGCTGTAATCGATAAGCTATTAGCACCGTATGCCTCAATATGTGCTTATAAATATTGGACGAATGGGTTTTATGAATGATAAGTTCAGAGTGTAGGAATTTCAGAGATCGGATGCCAATGTAAACCTTGTGCTGGAATACTATGTGCCGAGACATTAAAATCCTTTATGCAAAATAAAGCTGTTTGGTAACAGTTGGTGAAGAACATTTACATTTTAGACACGAGATATACCACTTTCGTGATAATGACATGAGCCAAAACATCTTCCTGTTGGGTTCCAACAGGCAAAGTAGCATCAGATTTTTACTTTGTCTTGTAGATGTACTTTATAGTCATGGTTATACCAAGTAAACCTTCAAGCGCTGATATATAAACTGAAGAAGAGGCAGAAGCCAGTGGAGTAGCCAGTGGCGTTCTGCGTGAACTAAGCCGAAACACTGTGACTAAGGCAGAGCTGAGTCAGAAGACCAAGCTGTTTAAGTCCAGTTTTCATCCCCATACTTACATACGGTCAAGAGTCGTGGACGATGACGAAAATCTTCGAACCCGGGTTCGAGCTGCGGAAACGGGCTTTCTGAAACGAGTCTGGAACGCTGGCTTTACGTGTCTCGACATGGTCCGAAGTACCGGCATCCGGGAGAGCCTCCGAATACAGCCTTTGCTTCTCCAGACTGAGAGGTCACAGCTGCGATGGTTTGGCCATGTGTTGGGAACGCCTTCAGAAAGGAAGGCTAAGCAAAGTTTCTTGCCCAACCGACCGGCTGAAGGCCCACGGGACGGCCAAGATTAACCTGGGGCAAACATATGGAAGGAATCTGTTCCAGACTCAGGTTGACTTCTGCCGAAGCTCAGACTCTGGCACAGGATCAGAACGTTGAAAGCACTGGCTAACGATTCTGTCTCTAAGACCCGAAAGGAGCAACAGTTATGGGAGATGAAAAGTAAGAAGTGCGGCTCTACAGTCAACTACTTTAACGAACCTCTAGAAACAACTTCGAAGAGTCATATTCTAAGTAAATCCTCAGTGTTCACTCTTCAGAAGCACACAAAGTAAGAACTAGGATATTTCTGTCACCTCATAAGAAAGCGCAGTCACTCTCTGGAAAAACTAGCAGTATTAAGCTTTCTTTCTAACAAAGAACCGGAAGAACGAAACCAGTGGCGGTGCGAATAGAATCTGGTTTGCCACTTAAACGAATTTCACTAATGCTAGAGTAAAACACAAGAGGGGGGCAGTAGTGTTAGAACGTGTAGTCTGCCTTCCGAAGATACTGTAATTGGTAAAACCATTCAACGTCTCTGAAAAAATCTTATGACATCGATCAGTGAGGCACTGCATGAGAAAACAGACAGCTCGATAACAAAGTGCCAATCATGGGCCTAACATATGTACAAAGAACTACAGAACCCAATGAAAATTCGTCAATCCCTGCTCTATACAAGCAGCCGTTGTGAGTTATATACGAGATGGCGGTACTACTGACAGGTTTTGAATAAGCGGGCTTAAGCCAATCGATGTGTTTGCGATTCTTGCGTTTGGCAAGGAGAAATGAGAAAAAATTTGCAAACTTTGAAATGACGTTCTTCCTTACGCTTTCATTATGGGGTCATTTCTGACACCCTTCTTTTCATGAAGTTAATGGCGAGGCATCGATCTCCATTTGAGTACCATCGGTCAAGGGTGCCGTTTTTAGGCAAAATCGACGATACCTACGTGGCAAACATGGTAATTTCCTGTGTTCTCCCATAGAGTTATAGTCATTAATCAAACTCGGAAACAAGAAGGGTAAGTGACCGAGATCAAAAATTGAACGCGGATATTTCGGGTCTGAGTTCGACGCTCTACCGACTGAGTAACAGAACATGCCTAAACAGAAAGGATGCATTACAATGCCGGAAACAACGGAACGCCGTAACGTCTGTATGTGTCATCGTCCAGTATCCAAAAGCTGCCATGTAATATAGCACTAGCTTTAACGAGATTTATGGAGAAGCCGTTACCCTTCTGTTTGGAGGGTTATAGTTCAGTTCTTAGCGAGACAATTGTATCAAATGAGAACTCAAAGCGTCTGAGGATATGATACAGTCCTATTCATCTGTAACTTGAGTCTTAGAGCCTTCAGCATGGTCCTTCCGCCGTGTGCGAGGAGGTAAGGAAAAGAAAACAAGCTGAATATAAGAAGATTAAGATGCTTGGCGGATTTCGAAGCCGAAACGAAGCCAAACGACTCAGAAACACAAAATGACCGTTGGACTTGCGAATGAGTTCGTTTCGCCATGGAAGGCGAAATAGGATGTTCATGATTAGCCGGTTTTTGCGGAAACCCTATTGCACAACTGGAGCGGAAAGGTGAGTTTAATTCACTTTGCTCGGCGCGATCCTCGTGTGAGGTGCTGTTTACTCTTCGCAGCTGATGTGACCTACCGGTTTTTCACGTGTTTCGTCATCAACCATGCAGGTTTGGCTTTCCAGAACGGCACCGATCACGAGTCATTCCACTGAAACAACCTTGAAAGGCGATCGATTGATGATTAGTTCACGGTTACTGTGGGATGTGGCCATTAAAAAAGGCTTCTATGGTAAAGTTGCCATCATATTTTTGATCAGTAATATCTGCTTCGCTAGTATCCATTACGGATATATTACCGTGAGGCTTGAAACCAGTTTCTCACTGTGGGAAGCAAGGGAGTATTAAACTAATATTGCAATAAGATATAAGATCAAGAGTATGAGGACCAGTTGTGTCCTAAATTTCAGGGCGAGGAAATTTCAGAGTTAT